AAAAAAATGGAGATGAGAAAGTTGTAGTCAGGTTAACATGAAATAAAAAATATAAAAGGCCACTCAAGGACATTAATTTCCACCCTAATGCAAACCTCTCATTTCAAGTGCATCATTTAAGTGTCTTGAAACACTGCAAGTTTCCATTTCTGTCTGGAATTTTTATTTACTGTTAGTTTCTTACTGCTACTAACACTAAAAACCTTTAGAAAACTCCAGAGGGCTGTGTTCTTCACGGTGGGGGGTGGGGGGTAGAGAATCCGCTCTGTGGTGCTCATGGGAGAGAGAGCAATAGCTGGCCTTGGAAGTTGGGGAGCAAGTACCTAATCTCTATGAGTGGGATAGAGGGGGGCTGCTACTGGCAAGCTTGTCTCTGGGAGTCCACAGCAAAGGATGCCTAGATCACTATGGTTTCCTGCTGTAGTGATTAGTACCTCCCACCTCAAAGTCCCTGAATTTGAAGTTTTTCATAGATTGTGTGAGCCTAAACCTCATCCAACCACTGCTGTCGGAGCAGGAAGCTGGGACTAGAGAGACCTGAGATGCCTATTAAATTGCTAAAACTCACACAGGGTTTAAGGTCTTCAGAGCAAAGATATCTTGCTCCTGGGTTTTATAAAGAATTATAATTTATAATTATAATTTATAATGAATACTGTACTCAAGAACTGCCAAGGAAAGCCAGCCAGAAGGGGCAGTGATGTGAGCTCCAGCTCCATGTCTTCCAGCCAGACAGCTTCCCCAGTGTGTCCGGCAGACGTGTATCCTTTGCTACCTGAGTCCTTTGCAGCACCTTCCGCTCTGCAGTACTGCTGCCTGCCCTGTCTATGGCTCCAGGAGGCTCTAGAATTCTTTCTTGGAGCAAGGGCAGCCTGAGGGGCTTGGGGGAAGCCTGGACAACCAACGGGAGCAGTAAACCTGTTGGGATGAGGGCAGCAAGGGCATCATCCAACTGAGAAGGAGCTGTGCAGATGTCCTTTTCTCTGTTCTGGCTGGGGAAATGGATATGGTGGGTATAGGAAGGAGAGTTAAAAACATGGATAATTTTAAGGAGAAGCAGATATACTTTCTTGGATCCACCTGGTTATTGGTAAAGACTTAGAATAGTTTACATCGTGGATCCCAACACATAGGCTTTGGAAGCAAACAGAATGCCAGTTCTTCCATTCACTTCCCTTTAGCTCCATCTTCTTACCAGTAAAATCCATGTCACTAACCATTCACTGAATGGTTACTCAGGACCAAGCACTATTATAAGGGCTTTACATGCATTAATTCATGTAATCCTCATGTGTACCTTACAATGTAGACTAGAATCTGTGAGCTTCATTCTTCAGATGAAGACATGAAGGCACAGAAAGGCTGAGTAGCTTATTTCAAGTCACAAGGCTAACAGATGACAGAGAAAGGATTTGAATCCAGGGAGTCCACCTTCAGAGTTCATGCTGTGGACATGACTTCACCTTGTTTCTGCAATTGAATGAGACAGCAAACTCATGATTCTCCATGAGTAATAATCCTTAACACTCCAAGTTATTAACACTGAGCCATGATATGGTTTGGTTGTGTCCCCACCCAAATCTCATCTTGAATTGTGGTTCCCATAATCTCCATGTGTCATGGGAGGGACCCAGTGGGAGGTGATTGAATCATGGGCGCAGTTACCCCCATGCTGTTCTCAGGATAGTGAGTTCTCATAAGATCTGATGGTTTTATAAGGGTCTTTTCCCTCTTTGCTCAGCACTTCTCCCTCCTGCCATATTGTGAAGAAAGATATGTTTGCTTCCCCTTCCACCATGATTGTAAGTTTCCTGAGACCTTCCCAACCATGTGAAACTGTGAGTCAATTAAACCTCTTTCCTTTATAAATTACCCAGTCTTTGGTATTTCTTCATAGCAGCATGAGAATGAACTAATACAAGTCACTACCTGTTGAGCATAGTTAAAAAACAAAACAAACTAGAAATTCATGTAATCGTTAGCTTCTGTCCCAGTGGACCCCAAACATTTTGGTTATGCACCCTAAGTTGTAAAATGTTCCTGAACATGTATAAGTATATATACATTCATTTGTGTATGGATTAGAAAAATGTCCTATCATGTATATGACCATTATGAATCATGTAGAACTTAGAAACTGAAATCAAAAACAAATTTAAAAATAGGAGTTCAACATAGATCTACCTCAGAAACACAGTGGGTTTGGTTCCAGACCACTGCAATAAAGCAAATATCATAATAAAGTGAGTCACACCAATTTTCTGGATTAGGCTTTGGCTCTGAGGGACTGTTGTGGCTGGTTTGATCTTTTATCCAGGCCACTCAAACTTTCTCCCTATCAGCAAAAGGCTGTTTTGCTTTCTTATCATTTCTATGTTCACTGGAGTAGCACTTTTAATTTCCTTCAAGAACTTTTCCTTTGCATTCACAACTTCTGAAAATGGCAAAAGAGGACTAGCTTTCAGCCCATCTCGGCTTTCCACATGCCTTTCTCATGAAGCTTAATCATTTCTAGCTTTTGATTTAGAGTAAGAGATGTGAGTCTTCCTTTTACTTGAATATTTAGAAGCTGTCGTTGGGTTATTATCTGGCCTAATTTCAATATGGTTGTGCCTCAGGAAACAGGGAGCTGGAGGAGGGAGAAAGAGACAGGGAAACGTTTGGTGGAGCCATCAGAACACACAACATTTACTGATTATGTTTGCTCTCTTATGTGGGTCCAGTTCATGGTGCCTCAAAACAATTGCAATAGTAGCCTCCAAGATCCCTGACGTCAAAGATTCCTGATCTTTGTAACAGATATAATAATAATAAAGTGTAAAATATTGGGGGAACTACCAAAATGTGACACAGAGACACAAAGTGAGCACATGATATTGGAAAAAATGGCATCAATAGATTTGCTGTATGCAGAGTTGCCATAAATCTTCAGTTTGTAAAAACATGCAGTATCTCCAAAGCACAATAAAGGGAGGCTCAATTAAAACAAGGGCATGCCTATAATTTTCCCTGCTCTTCAGGGGCACGTCTTGCTCACTCTATTTTGAAGACCACCAAGAAGCTCACATTTTCTGTTTTGCCCTTAACAGTTGGCGAGACAGCCCTGACCATCTGAGGACTCCTGCCTTGCCACACTAACTTATGATTCTTTCAGCCCAGGTTACAATCCAGTGATCAGGTGGCAGCCCCTCGTGGGGTATCAGGGCCAGTCACGGGTAGACCTGTGAACCCAGATCAACAATTTCAGCCCCTCTTGTTTAATTACCCCCTCCCCTCACCAGCCCCCTCTTCTTGGACCTTCTCAAATACCCAATGGTGACTGATCCCTCTCTCTGAGCCCCCCTGCTTTGAACATTGAGTGTTCTTCAACCTTCCTGAACTTAAGTCACTTACAGGGCTGTCTGCATTCCAAGCGTTATCTCCATTTAAACTTTCAAAGGCTCATTTTCCTCAACAGTCAAATGAGGATGTTAATTATCTGTGTATCCAAGTGCTGTGAAGTTGAAATGGGGAACCCTTACGATCACGCCTTGCAAACTACCGACAGTGCACCAGGCACTCAGCAGGGCTCGTACATGGCCAGGAAGTCGATCTAGAAGGGAAGACTGTCTCCCTTACACAGGAGTAAATGAAAAGAGATGTTACCCTGAAATGATACCATATCCTGCTACACTCTATCCTAGCCTAATGGCACTGGGCTGCTGCTAACTGCTGAAGACTATTCCCCGAAGAGACTCAGTGTGAGTGGTAACAAGATGGGGATGCTGTGTTTGGCTTCATCATTTGAAGATGGGATCCTAGCAATGGCTCCTTCTAGCTTAGTCTCCCAAACCCCAGCGCACACACGGGCATTGGTTCCCCTCCTCCCAGGTCTCCTTCCATCCCTGGACCTCCCCGACCACTCAGAAGGGAGGGCCATTCCGAGGCCAGAGAAGGAAGGCGGGGGAAGGCTGCCCCACTGGGCTGAAGGGCAGCTGTTTATATTATAATTAAGGTTTTACAGCATAAACTGAAATGTAGCTTGACTATTCCTACAAGGCACTGGAGGTAATTACCACTGCTAGAGGCATTCTCCACTGCCAATTATTTCCCTTCCTAATTGAATAACTTAGGCCACATTGTGGAGGGCCAGGGAAAGGAAGGAGGTGCTTTCAAATATGGACACTCCTTCAGATGGCTCAGAACAGTGCAAAGCTTAACACACTCTCAGTCCAACCCTGTCTGAACGTTCTTCCCGAGGAGTGCGGCATAGAGAATAGGAATGTTAGTCTCAGAGGTCTACCATCTACTAGTTTGGGCAGATCAAACTCCCTGCACCGAATTCCTCTTCTATAAAATGGGAATCATTGAGGTGCAGGCAGACGGCGTTTTATTACACTTTTCTTTATTGCGTTTTGCAGATATTACAGTTTTGTTTTGTTTTTCACATTGAAGGTTTGTGTAACCCTGCATCAAGTCTGTTGGTGCCATTTTTCCAACAGCATGTGCTCACTTCTTGTCTCTGGGTCTCTTTCTCACAATGTCTGGGTAATTCTCACAACATCTCAAACTTTTTCATTATTATTATAACTGTTATGGCGATCTGTGACCAGGGACCTTTGATTTCATTATTGTAATGGTTTTGAGGCACCATGAGCTATACCAACATACGACAGCAAACTTAATAAATATATGTGTGTGTTCTGCCTGCTCCACTGACTTGCTGTTTTCCCATCTCTTTCTCTTTCTCTCTCTCCTTGGGCCTCCCTATTCCCTGAGAGACAATAATATTGAATTAGACCAATTAATAATCCTACAATGGCTTCCACGTGTTCAAGTGAAAGGAAGAGTCACACATTTTCCACTTTAAACCCAAGGCTAGAGATGATTAAGCTTAGTGAGGAAGGCAAGTCAAAAGCTGAGATAGGCCAAAAGCTAGGCAGGCCTCTTGTGCCAAATAGCCAAGTTATGAACGCAAAGGAAAAGTTCTTGAAGGAAATTAAAAGTGCTACTCCAGTGAACACAGGAATGATAAGAAAGCAAAACAGCCTTATTGCTGATAAGGAGAAAGTGTTAGCGGTCTGGATAAAAGATCAAACCAGCCACAACATTCCCTTAAACCCAAACCTAATCCAAAAAATTCGTGTGGCCTGTTTTATTGCGATATTAGCTTTATTGCGGTGGACTGGACAAACCCCACTGTATCTCCAACGTATGTCTGTATAGACTTCATGGCATTGTTGTGAGAATCAAATGAAATATTAATTCTGGCACATAGAGAGCATTCAATCGTTCTGGCTTATGGAGGTGGTTCCGACAGAGGGTGTGACCCATGGAGGGGCAGGTATTTCTCTCTTTCCTGCACAGATGGACGAAACTGAGGCAAAAGTCACACCTCAGTCCCACAAGAAACAGCTTGGGCTGGGAGTATCAGCAGCAGAAAGAAAGCATGCCTCCTGGCTTAAAAATAATAAATTCCTTTGAGTTAAAGAAGAAATGGCCCCTTTCAAGAAATGTGGACAGGTATTCAAGATATCCAGGCCCTAGGAGTGTTTGCTTCTCCCTTTGCCTCCCCTGTATCCATACGAGGTGCCTGGCATTGTGTAACAGGCCTGCGGTGGGTGGCTTCCTTAGCCCCAGGGAAACTCAGGATTAATATCACATACATTTGTTGAGTGTTGAGTTCAACTTTTTAAAATTTTATTCTACTCTCATCTCTTTCACACTTCACAACCACCTGAAAAATAAAAGTATCCTTCCTGGTTTACAGATGAAAAAAATAGAGACTGAGAGACTAAATAACTCACATAAGCTCAATCAAGGACTGCAACACAGCTCTCTGCCTCCAATTTTTCCCACTGCTCCTCCACAGGAAGGAAGTCCCTTCAGCTTTCAGGGTTCACCAGACACTCCCTTCCCAAAGCCCAACTCTTTTGCTATTGGATTTATGTAGTGCATTTAAAACATCACAAAAGCCAGAGATCATGAATTCTCCAACTTCAGTGTGCCTACAAGTCTCCTGGGGAATGTGTTTAAAAATGCAAATTCCGGGGCCACACTCCCAGGAAGTCTGACTCCCTGCATCCAGGACGCGGCCCGGGAATCTGAAGGTTAGCGAGGTCTCCAGGTTTTTCTGATTTCAGTAGTTCAATGAGACGGCTGCAGAGGCCTATGAAAGAGCACCTGTAACATCTCAGCGAGTTGATTTAATCTTTCTGAACATTCATTTCCTTATATGCAGAGGAAGATAATAATATTTACCTCTGCGAGCTTTTGTGAAAATTAAATGAGATAATGCATGGGAAGTGTGGTGGTGCTCTGCTGACATGAGTCCTTGTTAGCACAACTGCTGCTGTCATGAATATTACCAAAATACTGCCAAGCTTGTGTTATTCAAGGGATAAATTACTATAAGCTTGAGACCTTATCATTTGGAATCACTAAATCTATAGAAAATTGGGATGTAAAAGAAACATAAATAGAATTTGATACATTTAAGTCACTTTTTAACAAGATGGACTCATTTATCCTCATTTAACTGCCTTGGGGTGGGGGTCTTGGCAACAGTTTGGACAAACAGGAGTTTGTTCTCTAATTAGCAGACACTGATTAATGGCAGGAAAGGGGACCAACTGGTGGATATGTCGGGGGCGGGGTGGCACTTCTTGAGAACTGGCTTTAAATTAATGTGATCTGCACAAAAAATCAATAGCAGACAGCACTGAGATGGACTAGAATGTGTAGACCCATCCCCAGCCACGGACAGCTTCCTCCTAGTTATCCTCCATTTTCCTAGGACGCTGGGGACATCTCTGAGTGGGAGGGCATCCCGGGACCCCAGGCTGCCTCCATGGGTCTGATGTCTGGGTAAAGAGGAGCTCTGCCTTCTTATTAGGGAAAGCTGACCCAGAGGCTGCCCTGGGACTGCTTCTCCAGGTTTCTCCTGGGGAAAAATATGAAAGAAGAAATTTCAGAAGAAAGTAAGACAAATTGAGCTGAGTGAATGACCTACAGTCAGAGGTGGGAACCCCCCACTCCACACATACACACACTTTGAATTTGGCAAAAAGTCCAGATGAGGTATGAAGTGGCTCTACTGGCCAGGACTACCCACAGGCTGGCCTGGGGCTGGTGGCCTGAGCTTTGTCAGAGAGCCTCTAGAAATCTGCATTTCAACCAGGCCACCTCCGCCACACACACACACACACACACACACACACACACACACACACACA